AAGAGTGTAACAATATACAACACAGAATTGATTTTGGTTGCAAAATGGGAAAGCTTCCTTCGGACAAAAGGTAACTATTCCATGACTCCAAACAGAGTTCCCTCTTTCAAGGGTGAAGATGACTTGGGAATCCTCTTGGAGTCACCTAGTGGCAATTTTAAAAAAGCATATCCCTTCCTGTGCTCAGAGTAAAAGCAGCAGGCTTTAATTCAGTAATAGAGACATATGCCATTAGTAACACCTGTAACCTTCGTAAATGCAACTTTAAAAGTTACCCAAAAAGAATTAAGATTAAGGGACCAGCAGTTAGTGTAATGGCTATGTCTCTGGACTCCCACGTAGTCGACCACGGTTTGCGCCCCGGACCTGGTGACTTAAAACTCACGCCAGGCACGTGTGTGTGTGTGTGCCCAGGATCCCAAGAGGAGAATGGAGAAGGGTGTGGTGTGGCCATTTCCCCTGGGGATGATTTCTCGCTTTCTGTCTCTCTGTCTCTCTCTGTCTGTCTGACGAGTGCACGCACCCTATAGTGAAAACCTCTCAAAAAAAAATTAAGATTAAAATACTATTTTGGTTATGTAATTTTAATTTGCATAGTACTTCCTATGATTTTTTTTTTTTAAATTATGGTATTTTGTGGATAACAAAAGCTTTCAATGAGAATGAAGAACCGGTATGCACTTTGCCTCGGAACCTTTCTGCACAGATGGGGTCTTACCTAGTAAGGATATCCATCAGGTGGTTTTCCAATGCCAGCATTTCTGCTGTAACAGCTCCATGGCATTTTTCTTTAAAGCATCATCAATACGCATTGGAGAAAGTACAGCAAGAGGGACCAGCAGATGGCATAATGGTTATGTTACTGGACTCCCACAGAGTCAATGCTGGTTCAACTCAAACTGTTATCTTAAAACTCACCTAGGCGTGTGTGTGTGTGTGTGTGTGTGTGTGTGTGTGTGTGTGTGCCACAAATCCCAAGAGAAAAATGGAGGAAAAGGGATTGCAGCATGGCCATCCTTTCTTGGGGGTGACTTCTCACTTTCTGTCTTCTGTCTGTCTCTATCTCTCTGGCACAAGGAACTTCAGCAATGTAGAGCCTCAGCCGTTCATATTAATGTTTTGCTCATCTAACTTGGGAATTGGCATAGATGGGACTTGAAGTGATTGCCTTTCTCGTATTTCTCTGGTATGAGCAGGAGATATTCATGGATTTCTGTTTTCCTTCCTCTCTCTCCCTCTGATCCTTCAGATTTATGAGGAATCCAAGATGAATTTGGAGCAGGAGAGGCCGTTTGTCTGCAGTGCCCCAGGTTGCTCCCAGGTGAGTGTGCAGATCCTCTGTGCTCTGGCGTGCAGCAAATGCACCACCTTCTTGCCAGCTCCCACTGGCAACCACGCTTGCCGTGGGCATTTCTGCTTTACAAAATACTGTCAACATCCCCTGTCAGCATTGTCATCTTCATTACCATTAGCATATACCGCTTTGAATGGTTTGCCCAGTTTTCTCCAAATTGTCTGAAACAGAGCAGCCCTGGACATTTCCACCCATAACTTCACCCTGGAGGCAAGTCAGATGCCTCCTGCCCCAGCAGACATGAGGGATACCATTTCAGAAAAGGGAAGGAGAGTGCCTACTTTTACAATAGCTACTTGAGAACTGGCTGGGCCTCTGAGCTATTTGCTGATGAAATAACTTACCGTCATAGCTTGAATTCTACCAGTTTGTTTTGTTTTCTCCTTTGAGTAAATGAACTCCTTATATAACTCTTCTAGACCCTACAGTTTTCCCATGTGTCTAAATTTTAAGAGAGAAAATTGTCCTGCTGGGCTGGATGAAATGTCTTTTGGCTTCTGATGGCTCCCACCAAGTGGGACAGATACAGAGATTAGATGAGCTACTGGTATGGAATATTTGGGTAGGGCCTGCATGGAACAAGCACTCAGTTAATGCCTACCTTGTTACTGCTCCTGCTGCTGCAGCTACTTCTAATTTTGTATTGGGGCCTATCTCCTTGAAAGAAATGAGGAGCATCCATCGGCTAAAATCAGAATTTCACATTTTACTTTTGAAACTGAATGGTGACTTTTAACAGTCTTGACCCTCTGGGTGTCTTCCCACTCCAGTCATTGGAAAATGATCATAGTGATTGTTCTCATACCGACAAGATCGCTTTATGGGATATAGAACACGTTTAGAACTCAGAGCACAGAAGTCTTTCCGACATGGGTAGTTGCCGTCTTTCCCTGATCTATCCGGTAGTTTCGGGGGACTCAGCACTTTGTGGCCTGCGTGTGTGGCAGGGTTAACAGTAAAGCTTGGAAAAATGCCTAGGAGTCTGAAGAGAGGTAGTACCCACTGAAGGCCCCTATTATGTCTTCCCAGGGTTTATGAAGGGTTTGGGGAGCCTTCTGGAAGGAAGCAGCCATAGGAACCTAAGATGTCATTGCTGGTGTTAGCAGCTGGCTGAGCTGCTGATAACAGTATTTTGTTCAGGACTGAAATGTTCACCAGGGACTTTGAGTTGATGTTTATTTCCAAGCAATTACTAAGAAAAAAAAAAAAAGCAATTGATTTTAAAGCAAGCTGGTTTGGGGGATCATTTTGAAGTAGAAAACGCAGATAGGTTGGTAAGTAACTGGGAAAAACCTTGCTAGACCAGGATTGGTAAGTAATCTGGATTGATAAGTAACTAATTGGAAAAACCCTACTAGACCAGGATTGCCCACTGTAGGTGCAGGGTATCACCTTAGTGAATTACAAAGACAAACAAGTTAAAACTTAGTTCCTAATTAAGATAAACTGATTGCTACTCAGTTTTTTTAAAGAGAAGTGTTGATAACCAAATGGAATTAGGTAAAGAATTTAGTTTGCTTTGGCTGTAAGTGTGACATGAAATTTTATTCAAGTCACTCAACACCCGTCTGAGGAGCCTACTACTTGCCAGGCACTCTCGCTGGCTAAGGAAATAGCCGTGCACAAGACACATGTGTCCGTGTCCTCATATCATATCTGTGCCACATGATCAATTAATCACTAACTAGTCAGTTGCAATTTTCCATAAAGGCAGATGATAGGCCACCTTGGACTGACTTTGCTGAGGGAGGTAAGTAGGAGGTTCCTCCAAGGAAGGGACATTTAATGCAATAGGACCTTCAAGAGACCCAGCAAAGGCAAGGGTGGGTTCAAGATAAGGTAGGGTTCCCAGCAGTGTCCAGTGCAGTGCACGGCAATAGAGGCAAGCATTACATGGAAGTTGTTAATCATAGCTAATACTTAGATATACCAGAGATAAGAGACCTACACATAGGACCAACAGATGGCATAATAGTTATGCTCCTGGACTCCCACATGGCAGAATGCAGTTTGAGTCCCGGACCTGGTGGCTTAAAACTTACACTGGGCGCGTGTACGTGCCCAAAATCCTGAGAGGAGAATGGAGGAGAAGGAATTGTGGCATGGTCATCCCCCCTGGGGGTGATTTCCTGCTTTCTGTCTCTCCCTTGTCTTTCTTTGTCTGTTTGGTGAGTGCATGCCCCCTATAGCAAAAATCTCTGTCTCATTAAAAAAAAGAGAAAGACCTAACATGAGTCACGGGACTAGACAGAACTTCCCTAGCTGGTACCATTAACATTCGGGGCTGGATAACCTGTGTTGTGAGAGCCGTCCTGTGTAATGTGGGACGTTGTTTAGCAGCCTCCCTGGCCTCTACCCCCTAGTGCCACCCCCTAGTGTGACAACCAAAGATGTCTCCAGACATTGCTAAATGTCCTCTGTGGGGCAAAGTGGCCCTGGTCACTTTATTTTTTTAATCCCTTTTTTTTTTGGGGGGGGGGAGTCCTCACTTCTAATAGGTGTTTTCCCCACTCTATTTTATGTTCTGCTCTAAGCCATCTCTTCTTCTTTTTGGAATCGTGCAGGGTATAAATAAATAAATGCCATAGACGTGTGGTCACTGGTGTCAGACGTGCTTGGTAGTTAGAGGTCTGGGCAGAGGCTGTTGGATTTGGCAGTTAGGTGCTCACCAGCGACCTATGAGAGAGGAGTGGGGTGAGGGCAGTTTGCCAGGGATTACGGAGTGAGTGGGTGGTGAGGAAGCGGAGGCGGCCAGCAATAGAGGACTCTTTCAAGAGCATTAGGCAGTGACGGGAAGCAGAGTGATAGAATGGTAGCCTGAGGAGGAAGCAGCTGTTTTAAAATTAAAGGATAGTCCAGCTGGGTTTAGTCAAAGGCAAGAAACTAGTGAAAAGGAAAAAGTAGGGCATGCTGGCTTGAAGGACCAATCCTAGAGGAGGAGTGAGGATCCTGATTCTTCTGGTACAGGAAGGAGAACCATTGCAGTCACATGCAAATTCTGAGGGGGAGATGGTGATAAAGGTGGAAGGGATGGGACCAGCAGATGGCGTAATGGCTACATTGCTGGACTCCCATGTAGTCGACCACGGTTCGAGTCCTGGACCCATGCCAGGCGCGTGTGCGTGCGTGCCCAAGATCCTGAGAGGAGAACGGAGGAGAAGGGATTGCAGCCTGGCCATGCCCCCTGGGGGGTGATTTCTCACTTTCTGTCTCTCTGTCTCTGTCTCTCTGGCAAATGCATGCGCCCTAGAGCAAAAATCTCTCAAAACAAACAAACAAACAAACAAAAAAACCAAAAAACCCCCCAAAAAACCCCGAAGTGGATCAGGCTGTCCTAGTGGTTAAGGCTAGATTCTCTGGCCAACTGCGAGGTTTGAGTTCTTGATCCAGCTGCTTGAGAAATACACGTGGACACATGCATACATGCCCCAAATTTCTTTTTTGTTTTTTTCTTTTTTTTGGTGGGGGGAGAGGTTTTTGCTATAGGGGGCGTGCGCTCGCCAGACAGACAGAGAGAGACATAGAGACAGAAAGCGAGAAATCACCCCCTCGGGGGGATGGTCACACCGCAATCCCTTCTCCTCCATTCTCCTCTCGGGATCTTGGGCACGCACGCACACGCTCCCGGCGTGAGTTTTAAGCCACTGGGTCCAGGATGCGAACCGTGGTCGACTACATGGGAGTCCAACAACATAGCCATTATGCTAACTGCTGGTCCCATGCCCCAAATTTCAACAAGATGGAGAAATGGAGAAGGAACGATGGCATGACCACACTTCATGGGATGTGCTTTCTCCTTCCCTCTTTTTCTCTGTCTCTCTTTCTCTCTCTGGAAAGCATATATGCTTTGTGAAAAAAAAAAAAAAAAGCTTGAAAAAAGTCCACCTTGAATGACCTTGAACTTCTCAGCAAAGGAGCAGATCATTTCCTTGAGAAGGCTAAGTGGATTAAGGAAAAGGTTGGGTAGATATGGTTCATTGAGAATTTATAGTTTCTTGTTTTAAGCTTCCCTCCTTGGCCCCTTTCAAATTTAAATGTAAAGAAGCATCTGAGATTCAATATCTCCATTTCACTTGAAAGTATTTCCCCCCTAAAAAGCTCTTTTGTAAATATGTGCCTCTTCTTTTTTTATTGAGAGGTTTTTAGTTTAGTTTAGTTTTGTTTTGTTTTGTTTTGCTATAGGGCATATATGCTTGCCAGAGACAGAGAGACAGAGAGACAGAACATGAGAAGTCACCCCTCAGGAAGAATGGCCATGCCACAATCCCTTCTCCTCCATTCTCCTCTCAAGATTTAGAGCACGCGTGTACATGCTCCCAGCATGAATTTTAAGCCGCTGGGTCTGGGACTCAAACCACTACATGGAAGTCCAGGGACATAACTATTATGCCATCTGCTGGCCCCCATGCATTTTCTAGTGGAAAAGGTGTTAGAATTAAGAAAATGCAGTAGCCCAGTAATTCTGTGGGTCTCGTGGTGGTGGTGGCGGTGGAGGGGATCTTAGGAACTCAGGACAGTTACTGTGGCAGCATTTAGTGCAGCGACATCCCAGAACGTAGGAACTTGTATGGAAAGGATGGCTGGGAGTCATGGGTGCTTGCACTGCCGCGGGGGTGAAGAAGGAGTTTTGTTTCTTTTTCCTTCATTGGAAAGCAACTTTGCTCTATCAGGAACAGCCTATAATCCCTGGGACTTGTTTTATGCTACATCTTCTTAGATGTTAGCTTTCTCTCAGAAGTAATGGAAAATAAGCTTCTGTTGCTCCTCCTAATCTCACAGGGCCCAATGTGTATTTCACTCTGCCTTTGCTGTCTGTATCAACTGTGTTTTGAATTTCAGCGTCCTCTCTCAGCTCCATATCTGTTGTGGACTGTACATTTTGTTTCTTTGCAATCTGCTGCTGTTTTCTTATGTAATTTTAAAAAATCACAGATGTTCTATATTGTCTTGTTTGGAATATATATGATTGAAACGAGGTATTACTAAAATTATTATGTGAGAAGTATTCTTATTAATATCCCATTTTAGGCTATTTTTATGGAATAAAAAATGACATACAGGGACTAGCAGTTGGAGTAGTGGCTATGTCGCTGGACTCTCATGTAGTCGACCATGGTTCGAGTCCCGGGCCTGGTGGCTTAGACTCACGCCGGGCACATATGCATGCGTGCCCAAGATCCCGAGAAGAGAATGGAGGAGAAGGGATTATGGCATGGCCATGCCCCCGGGGGGTGATTTCTTGCTTTCTGTCTCTCTATCTCTCTGTCTTTCTGGTGAGCGCACATGCCCTATAGAAAAACTTCTGCAAAAAAAAAAAAAAAAAGAAAAGACATACAGATCTGAAATGATATGAAATGAAGGATATTACCATGCTTATTATGGCTTTTTAATATATATCTAAAGTATATACCATATATCTCTAATATATAAATTATACAATATTTAATGTAGATATTATATAAATACATAATTTATATATATAGTAAAAAAAAAAGTATAACAAGGCTTTTGACAGAAAGGCTAGAAAGGCTAGAAAATCTAACTCCTGCCCCTGAGTCACATGTAATTTTGGTTTAATGTTGTAAAAGCTGAAAGGCTAGACAAACTAGCAGCAAAAAACCCACATTATATAAAGCTAACTTCTAAGTGTTGAGACATCTGGCACGATTACCATGCTCTGCAAATTCTATGCTCTCCAATTGATGTGCTACTGATAATAATTAAATAAAGGATTAAATAAATGATATTTTTATAAAGAAATATTTTAAAAATATTTCATAAAATTAAGCCCTTTTTCTTATGAACTCAAAACCATACAATATGCAGGAAAAATTTCTACCCTAGTTTACAAAGATAATTGAAACTTATGTTGATTATTTTAAGAAACTAGGGAGCACTGAAAGGTTTTTTAAATTGTCAAAGATTAAGAAATGTTCAGCAGAAGTTTGGTCTTTCATTGTATTTTTATATGACTTTGAAAAAGCAGATACTCTGTTAAATTCAGTTATTATAAATATACCAGTCTGAGTCAGACTAGGCTGGGATATGCTACAATAACAAATTACTCCAAAGCTTCAATGGCTTAAAACAAAGAAGATTTATTTCTATTGCACAACATACATTTCTATTGTAGATTGGCAGGAATAATTCTTTTGTGTTTAGAAATGCTCTTTGTAATTCTTCAGTGATTTAGGAGAATTGAGGGCCACTATTTTTTTTTTTTTGAAAGATTTTCACTATAGGGTGCGTGCGCTCGCCAGACAGACAGAGAGAGACATAGAGACAGAAAGCGAGAAATCACCCCCTAGAGGGGATGGTCACGCCGCAATCCCTTCTCCTCCATTCTCCTCTCGGGATCTTGGGCATGCACGCACACGCGCCCGGTGTGAGTTTTAAGCCACTGGGTCCGGGACGCGAACTGTGGTCAACTACGTGGGAGTCCAGCGACATAGCCATTACGCTAACTGTTGGTTCCTGAGGGTCACTATTTCTAAAACAGCAAGTTACCATGCTATAGGAAAAGGAAGTATGCTATAGGGCTTTACAGAGGAATAAAATGCTTGCCTCTGGGTGACATGTCACTTTTGTTTATTGTTCAAGGGGTAGAACTAGTTGTGTGGTTTTATCCAACTACAGGAAGGCCAGAGAATTCAGCCCTAACTTGTAGCCAGAAATCAGACAAATCAGCCAAAAAAAAAAAAAAAAAGGAAATAGCATGTTTTTTTTTGTTTGTTTGTTTTTGTTTTGTTTTTTTTTAAAGATTTTTTTACTGTAGGGCATGTGTACTTGCCAAGGAGACAGAGAGACATAAAGCATACCCTAGGAGGATGGCCATGCCTTAATCCCTTCTCCATTCTCCTCTTGAGATTTTGGGCACATGGATACCCCTGTCCAGCGTGAATTTCAAGCTGCCAGGTCCAGGAATGCATACTCCTGTCCAGCGTAAATTTCAAGCTGCCGGGTCCAGGACTCGAACCATGGTTAGCCATGTAGGAGTCCAGTGCCTTAACCACAAGATGGCAACCTGTTCATGCCAGAGAATAGTATTTTTTTTTAAGTCAAAGGGCACATGTGTAAGGAGAGGAGAGAGAGAGAGAGAAGCTTCCCCCAGCCAGCCCTGATCACACTGCAAGCCATTTTTCTCTCCCCAGACCTGATCACACTGCAAGCCATTTTTCTCTCCCATTCTCCATCCCATCAGGATCGTGGGTACATGTGGGTATGCCTGACTTATTTGGGGTCTGACACACAAACCTTGGGTGGCTATGTGGGATCTGGCCTCCTCTGCACCCACATAACCACTGCACTATGAGGCCAGCCCCATCAGCAGCATTTTGACAACCAAAATATCATTCCCTGAAAATTAAAGCTAAAGAGTAGTTTACTACGCTACACAGAAAATGCAATAAATGTGTCATGTAACTGTAAAATCATTTGTTTAATTCTAAACAATCAGATAATACATGGGCGAAGTACTCATAAAATGGGAGCATACTGCACAAATGCCATGGTGTACATTTGTAGGTCTATACGTTAAATAATTAAGCGTGGCATATAGTTCTTTTCCAAAGTCTAACATGAATCAAGATTCTTTCCTTTGTCATGCATTTGCTTATTTTTGGTTAATCTATACATAATGTCTGGCATTCTTATCATGCTTTAGACTTAATTTTACACTGCTGCGTAAAACAGTAACTACTAGAGAAAAGTTCCAGAGAGTTTTGCAAAATTCCGCTGCTATTCAGGGCTAAATCCACTTTCCTATTTTGGACGTGGTTTTTTCATATGTGTAAGAAGAAATGGGAAAATGTGAAGTTTGTCATGCTGCCATTATTAGTTACTTTTTGTGACCCATAAATAGACATTAATTTACACACTCTTACTTTATTAAAGAGGTTGCCTAACATTAAGTAGGTTTTAGAGGACTGCGTGTTTTGGGAGCATATATTATTTCAGTACTGTCGGTGTTGTTTATTTACCTCTTCCTCTTTTATTCTTTAACTCAACACAAAATATCAAGTCTTCCCTGAGATTCAAACCTCTAGTTCCTAAAGAAATACATAGTTTACTGATTCATCCGGGGTTGGTTATATCCAGGAACTACCTAAGTAGAGGCATTTAAAAAGTTCTCTGAAAGGTCAGCAGGTGACATGGAGGTTAATGCATGGATCTTAACATGGCTGACAGTGTAGTTTGAGTCCTGGACCTGCCGGCTTGAAAAACACTCCGAGCGCATGTGCCAGCCTGCCCAGTATCTTGAGAGGAGAAGGGATTGCAGTATGGCCGTCTCCCTGGCAGGTGATTTTTTTCTTTCCCTCTCTCTCTGTCTCTGTCTTTCTTGCACATGCCGAATGGAAAACAAACAAAAAGCTCCCTGGGAGGGTGTGAGGAGTCAGAGATAGAAGACAAAGACCTCCTAGTTATTCGTAGTACTCATCCAGATTTTCTGCAGCCTAGCTAACTCCTTTGGTAAACTGTAGTGAAAATTATGATGCATGTGTTTGGGTGTATTTCAAAGAAATATTCCAGTACAGTTGCTTGCATAAAACAGCTTGTAACCTTACTTACTCATGCTTTCACACTTTTTTCAGAATGGAGTTCTGTTTGGTCTATCATGTTTGCAATGCCCCCTAAATCTTCTTCTCTTTGATGGCAAGTGTGTATTACAAAACTAAATAGCTCCTCTCCACTGACTCCCTTTCCTTTGTCTGACAGCGCTTCCCAACCGAGGACCATCTGATGATCCATAGGCACAAGCATGAAATGACTTTGAAGTTTCCTTCAATAAAGACAGACAACATGTTATCAGGTAAGGAGCCATCATACAAAGAAGCTTTGGGTCATCAGATGAGTCCCATGCAAGACAGTTACTCTGTTTTTGGTAGGCTGAGTCCCGCCAGCTAATTCTGCACCTTGCAAACACACAGAGTGAAAATGGAAGGTGCACAACATAATGTAATAATCTTTGTTGAAGATGATGAATATGGTAGTATCCTTGATTAATTATCACACACGGCATGCATGCTTTGATAAACCATGTTGTGCCCCATAGTCATGTACAACGATCAAATGTAAATAAGAAACTATAAAATAAAAAGAAAACACGCATGCGTAAGAGCAGAAACGTAATTAGATAATGCAGTATTCACTCAAATAATTAAAGGGCTGTGACTTCCCATTTTTTGGAATGTGAAATATTTATTACTATGAACTTAGCTCTTATTTTTTTTAAATTACATACCTGCAATCATTCAATCAACAAATATAACTTGAGCATCTATAACGCACACTGCAGTGTTCTGAGTGCGATAGGAGATGCAAAGATTGATATACTTCCTGTCTGTGAGGACATCATAATACGGTGTGTCTATGAAAATTTAACTAAAAGAAAGGCTCATTCTCAGTATATATCCAATGCGTATTATAAGGAAAAAAATGCTATGGAACTTTAGTAGAAGAAGCTCTTTTTCTAGACTGAGATGGACAGGGAAGGCTTTCTTAAGAAACAGTACCAGCCTTGGGAACCAGCAGTTAGCGTAATGGCTATGTCGCTGGACTCACACGTAGTCGACCACAGTTCGCGTCCTGGATCCGGCGGCTTAAAACTCACGCAGGGCACGTGTGCGTGCGTGCCCAAGATCCCGAGAGGAGAATGGAGGAGAAGGGGTTGTGGCATGACCATCCCCCATGGGGGTTGATTTCTCGCTTTCTGTCTCTATGTCTCTCTCTGGCAAGCGCACATGCCCTATAGCGAAAAACCTCTCAAAAGAAAAAAAAAAATAGTACCAGCCTTATAACTGGGTGATTAAATGAGAAAACGCATGGAAACATAGCAGGTACCCAGAAAATGCAAGCAGAAACAAACACTTAACCCAGCAATGTATTGTCATTTCTCCCCATGGTAGTGTGATAAAGCAGAGAGAAAGCAGGGACAGGACTGAGGAACCTAACCTGTACCGGAAGCTCTCTGCCTTAACTAATTATGGACTTGAGCAAGTTATTGAATTGCTCTGGCCTCGGGTCTTCTTTTCTCAGAAAATGAGAATGGTTGTGTCTTCCCAGGCAACTTTACAGGTTTACTGTGACGATCCAGTGAAAGTCTGTAAGGGGATGTGTTTCATAAACCCTAGCAGGATAATGGAATAATTTCCTATTATCCTTCTTAGGCTAGAAAATAGTGCCTGTGAACCAGTGTCCCCCCAGCGTTGCCTAAGAGATAATACACTCTGAGCTTGTTTTAAATGCGATCGAAAGAACTGGCTCATATAATTTAGTATTTCTGTGGCACTTTAACTTTATAAACACTTTATTATCACTATTATTAAGTCCTTCAAGACCTTTATCAGACAGTTATTACAACCTGTGTGTTTCTGACAGAGGAGGAGGAACATTTGTTCCGGAGTAGCTTTTCCAAGCTCCTTAAACAGAGCACACCTGGGGCCTTGGTCCTTTTTTTTTTTTTTTTTTTTTTGAGAGGTTTTTACTATAGGGCACGTGCACTCACCAGACAGACAGAGACAGAAAGCGAGAAATCACCCCCCAGGGGGAACGGCCACGCCACAATCCCTTCTCCTCCAGTCTCCTCTTGGGATCTTGGGCATGCACGCACACGCGCCCGGCGTGAGTTTTAAGCCACCGGGTCTGGGACGCGAACTGCGGTCGACTACATGGGAGTCCAACGACACAGCCATTATGCTAACTGCTGGCCCCTTGGTCCTGCAATCCTGGCCCAGGGATTGCACTTGGCTGCCACAGTGTCAGGCTTGTACTCCCTGTGACAGAGCGGTCACACAGAAAACACAGCCCCTCAAACTCACCAGTGGCAGTGGGTAGTGCAGCTGTGCTGTGGTTTGGAGGACTCATAGTTCAAAGGCAGCCCCTGTCCTTCCTACCATCAGCCACCACCTCTCTCTCTCAAGTTTATTTCCATGCTTGGTTCTTTTTTTTTTTTTTTAAATTGTTGTTATTTTGTTTTGTTTTTGAGCTGGCTCTTCAGAAGCTGTTTTGTCCTTCCTTAAGTCTACACAGAGGCAGAAACTCAAACTTGTAAACATACACACCCAAGAAGGATTAGGAAGCATGGTTGCACTTTTTTTTTTTTAATGTACTACATATTCACATGTAGTGTAATTTTATAGTTCGAGGATGAACATCTATATGCAAGTGATAAGGTTGTTGACTTTGTAGTTCTCAACATTGATATTTGGAAGTTCTCTCTTTCGCCACACTGGGTCCCTACACTAGGCTGCTCAGTGGTAGAGAAGTGGGAGGGGAACAGCAGAGAGTGGCCACTGTGTAGGGATGTTGCTACTCCAGTGCCAGTATAGTTGTAGCGTCCCTCGCTTGAGCAGGCTGCTGGGATGGCCCCACACTGGGCACCAGCCACAGAGCCGAGTAAAGCAGCCAAAGATGGGTGAACACTGGGGTGAGGCATTCTTCTACACAGTGCTTCAAACAGGTTTTCACCTAATCTCTTGCAGCTTTGACATTGTTCTTACCAGCTCCTTATTTGTTTCAAGCTGTTGCTGCCAATCATTGTCAGTGCCAGGTGCAAAATTATTGAGAGAAAAATAACCCTGACTTTCACTATGTCAAACTTAGAACGAGAGAATGAAGGGAGAGATAAACATGAGGAAACCAGAATGGATAATGGATCGGCATATTTTCTTTTGCTTTCTCGTATTTTATGTCGAGGTTTGTATGAAATCCATTTAATAAACCCAGTGAAATTAAATGCTAAATTTTAAAATTTCTTACCTAATTTGCATGTTCATAGTCTCAGAATTTTCTGATTACAGGACCAGCAATTAGTGTAATGGCTATGTCACTGGGCTCCCATGTAGTCGACAGTGGTTCAAGTCCCAGACCCGGTGGCTTATACTCACACCGTGCATGCCCAAGATCCCAAGAGGAAAATGGAGGAGTAGGAATTGCAGCATGGCCATCCCCCCTGGGGGGTGATTTCTTGCTTTCTGTCTCTCTGGCAAGTGCACATGCCCTGTAGCAAAAAAAAAAAACTCTCCCCCCCAAAAAAGAATTTTCTTTTTGCAAGGGAATGCACTCCAGACTGGCTTTATTTCTTTGCACATAGGGGTTAAAGTTTACTATATGTAATATATCAGGGTTGTCCACACTGAATTATAATAGGCTATCTATTGGGTAGTTTGACTTGTATTTTTTTTCCAGGAAATATTTTAGTGTTTATTTATCTCAAACCTTATTTTCCATAATGATAGTTTCAGCATATTAGATTGTGATTACAAATATGACTGAATATTTTACTTACTTATATCTTGATTTATGTAAATTTGAATTTATTAAAAGCTTCACAATCTATTTTTATCAAAAACAAGTTTACTAAAATTTTATTTACTTTGTGAACTATCAGGAAGATGATTTCATAAAGCTCAAAATGTAACAATTAGAATAAAAATATTGTACATCAAATCTTGAGTCAATAAACATCAGGCATGAGGGCTGTCCCTGTTGCCTAATTGTTAAGGAAGCCAGATTGCATATGTCTGGCCACATGGTTTGAATCCTGTCCCTAGCAGTTTGAAAAACACATTGGGCATGTGTATGTGTGTGCCTCAAATTCTGAGAGGATTCAAAAATGGAGGAGAAGGGATTGTGGAATGACCATGCCCATTAGGGATGCTTTCTCTCTCTCTCTTTCTTTCTCTGGTGAGAACATGTACCCTTTGACAGTTAAAAATAAATAACCATAAAACAAAAAAAAATTTTTTTGGAGAGGTTTTCACGATAGGGCATGTGCACTTGCCAGACAGACAGAGAGAGACATAGAGACAGAAAGCGAGAAATCACCCCCCAGGGGGAATGGCCACGCCACAACCCCTTCTCCTCCATTCTCCTCTTGGGATCTTGGGCACGCACGCACACGCGCCCTGCATGAATTTTAAGCCACCGGGTCCGGGACGCGAACCGCGGTCGACTACGTGGAAGTCCAGCGACATAGCCATTACGCTAACTGCTGGTTCCCCAAAGCAAAAATCTTAAAGTCCCTTTTGAAGCATTTTTTTTTACACAATCTTTAAAATCTTCAATTACACAAAATTTTATTTCAGATAACTTGATACTTGACATACATTAAAAAGATAAAATATTGTAGTTATTTAAATGACTAATTTCAGAATACCACGTTAACTTTTATTTTTGAAGAATTATTGGGTGTCGACTCCGGAGGGCGCACCACGCGGGGCCTGGCCGGCGCCCCCCCACTCCGGGGGGCACGCCACGCGGCCGGGGGGGCCTCCCTGCCCCTCCCTGCCTCTCTGGCCCGGGATGGCCCGGAGGCCGAAAACAAGGTTGAAGAACTTGCAACTTAAGAAGATGATAGTTACCAGCCCTGCATTACCTCAGGGGAAAACAAGAACTACTCTGCCATTTTTAAGGAAGCCAGATACCCAAGGACAACTCACACTGCAGACCCCCACAACACCATTCCTGGTAACTACAAGATGACTGCTGTGCCGCATCAGCTGATAATTATCCCTGTGTACCAGAACTGCTTTCCTGAAACTGCATTCCTTGGAGACTCACCTACACTTGTGGATCTGCCGGAGACCCTTCCTTATCCAACCCTGAGTGGAGTTTATGCTCCCTATTACCAAAAACTTTATGAGCTGATGGTTGGAACTTGTGGCCTCTCTCCCTTTACTTGTATGTATCACTTTTTCAGTAACTCTTCTGGAAGACAACTGTATATAGCAGGGATATTGTAATGGGAGAGTGAGACAAGGCAGTCGAATACCAGACAAAGGTAGCTTGAGAAACATGCCAGCAGTGTGT